GAACCCGTAGTACCGAAACGACGACCCTCGAGGATGGGATTCTCCAGCCGGTTTGGTCGCAAATCCGGTGAACACCCCATGATGGAACAGGTGGATGAAACGAACGAAGATAGGACCTATCAGCGTCGAAAGAATGTGCGAACAGCTGGTGGGGACCAGGGAGGGAAGCAAATCACTTTCGACGACTCGAGACGGCCAGTGTCCTCGCATCACGCGCCTCCCGCATACGGCGACGAAAGTACGACGACGTTGGCACTTCCCATCAATCGATTATCCGAATCATCGAGGTCAGATGCCAGCTCGGGCGATAGGGTATATGGAACCACGACGACGACCACCCATACAGTTCACACCACAACAACCTTCTTTAGGCTCCCGCGCAGGAAACAGAAGCAGCCCGAATCTTTGTTCCCTATTGCACACCTCCAAAAGAAGAACTTGGCTGAGGACTCTGATATGTCGACCTCCTCTCACGTTGCTGAAGGTTCAAACGCGCTGGCAAGGTCACGGTCTACCACCCACTTGACACCAACTCCATCTCGGCCGTCAACTCAGCATGGTGCTACAACGCCCCCAACAGGTTCTTCTACTCTGTTTTCCAAATCGAGCTCACCAGCAACTGCTCTGTTTCGACCAAGCTCACGGAATTCCGGTCGCGCGTCGCCTACACGGGCACAGCTGCATAGGCGAGGTAGGTCCTCGACCCTGAGCTCCCTAGGTAAAGTCTCGCCAAGAGAATCCGCGGAGGATTACCTCGCTCCTCCGGCAACCGCCAGGGCGTCCATGTCAACAGGCAGGAAGAGCTTCGGGGATCTTCTCGGCCTCGGTCGATTACGTCAGAACTCCAGCTCGACGCTGACCCAACAAGGAGCCATGACTCCCATAACGCCAGCGTCGGGCAATTCAAAGAACAATTCGATACAACTTCCAAGGGACTCGATTATTCTACCAGAACGTCGTGAAGATGATACACCGGGAAAATATCTCGAGCGATTGTTGGAGGTTGTCAGTCGGAGCGTTATTGCTGCAATTGTCTCCAAGGGTACAGATCAGTTTTCGCAGGCCGTTCTCCGAAGCTACATGCGCAGCTTCAGGTTCTTTGAAGATCCGATGGACATGGCTATCCGTAAGCTTCTCATGGAGGCGGAACTGCCCAAGGAGACTCAACAAATCGACCGCACCCTACAAGCGTTTGCCAACCGCTATCATGAGTGCAACCCTGGCATCTACGCGACTGCGGACCAAGCATATTTCATTGCTTTCTCATTGCTGATCCTGCATACCGATGTGTTCAACAAGAATAACAAGCACAAGATGCAGAAGGCAGACTACCTCAAGAACACGCGCGGAGAAGGCGTGTTTGATGAGATCCTGGAGGTGTTCTACGACAATATCACTTATACGCCGTTCATCCATGTCGAGGATGATCTGGATATCAATGGGGAGCGTATCATTGCTCACAAGGCGAAAAAGAAGTCGATCTTCCCCCATACCGCTCCCGATCCAGCAAAACGTGTTGCCAAGGAACCGATAGATCCTTACACTCTGATCATCGACAATAAGCTGGACATCCTAAGGCCTACGCTGAGGGATGTGATGCATCTGGAGGACCCATACAGTTACCTGGGGACGGCCAGGACGCTCAACATGAAAGAACTCCACAAAACCTTCTTCAAGACTGGCGTACTGCAGATAGTGTCAGCACGATCACGGCCAGACGCATTCATGTCTGATCAGACAGCCAACAACCCGCAAGACGCACATCCAGGCATCGTTGACATCAAGATCACCAAGGTGGGTATCCTCTGGCGAAAGGACACCAAGAAGAAGAAGACAAGATCCCCGTGGCAGGAGTGGGGTGCCATCCTTACTGGAGCTCAACTCTACTTCTTCCGCAACACCACTTGGATCAAGCATCTTATGCACCAGTTCGAGGACCACGTCAAAAGGGGTCATGACGGTGATCCATGCATTTTCAAACCGCCTCTGGAAGAGTTCAAGCCCGATGCGTTAATGTCAACAGATGGTGCCGTGGCACTTATGGACTCTAGCTATAAAAAGCACAAGCACGCCTTTGTTTATGTCAGGCACGGCGGGTTCGAGGAGGTCCTCCTTGCCGAGGATGAAAACGAGATGAATGACTGGCTGGCCAAGCTCAACTACGCTGCTGCCTTCAGAACATCCGGAGTGCGGATGCGGGGCGTGGTGGGGGCTAATCTCGACGGGCAAGGGCGCAGAGCCATCAGGAGGCTCGACACGGGCTCTCAGCGTATACAAACACCAACAGGAGAGGTTTCGGTATCACGAAGCAAGATTGACCACAAGATGGCGCAAGACATACTGGCCGCTCGGAGGGCGATAATGCTACAGAAAATTGCCGATGCCAACGAGAAGCTCTTGCAGACAGAGAAGACACTGGAAATGCAACTTCGGAACTCGAGGCACCTCCAAATTCTGGCACCGATTCAACCCAAGACGCGTGAGCAAATGTTGCTATCCGCAGCGCGAATGGCAGCACAGCTGAAGTGGACTCGAATGGAGATTTGGAAGCTCAAATGTCACCGAGACATTTTATTGATGGACCTCGAGGAGGAGCGCGAGATGTTGGGCATGCAAGCTGAGACTGCTATCGGCGCTTTGACACCCAGCAAGGAGCCTCTCACTAGAGAGGATACAAGAACCAGTCGCAACTCGGGTTATCCGCAGAGTCCTCAGTCTCCTGTTCAGTCCTTGATGGGCAAGGTACCTACCATTGTCAAGAAGCCAGACGAAGACTCTCCGCAAGCTGACGCCTTCCAAACACCGCCAACTAGTGCCACTGGCCCAGCATCCCAGCAAAAGGAGGTAGAGAATACTGACCCCCGCAAGAAGTCGGTGTCTAGTGCTGTATCTTCCAGCCGCTCCTTGGCAGCAACCCCATCAAGAGGCTTGACAAGCTCGGGCTCAACTTCGGAAAGCAAATTTGACCAGGACGAGATTGATGCCGAAGAGCATGACCTCTTGGCGCAAGCCGGCTTGCTCGAGTCTGCTCGTCGTGGCTCAGAACAGAGGCCCCCGAGTTTGGCTACAGATACGGATGGTAATGCTCAGTCAGAGAAGGAGAAGCACAAAATCCGCCGCAGCTTTCAACGCACTCTTCGCGAGGGCGCCGGCCATATCTCCCATCACCGCAGCCGGAGGGGTAGGGATTCTGCCAGCGCTAGCGTTGTGTCAGATGAGGCCAGCCAGGAGGGTCCTGACGTACTCGTTCGCAGCACTGGCTCTTTTGTGGTACATGGCAAGAAAGCTTCGGTCATCAACTTTGGCACGGAGCTCCAGTTGCAGAACATGTCCCCGGAGGAGCGCATCCGTCACTGGAAGCAGCGCGATGACGCGTCGATTGCCGAGAGCACCGAGCGTTTCGGTTCGGAGAACGGTGGCAGCCGTGACCAGGCCGTCGCGGAAGGGTCTGACTTCCGGTCCATCCTGACTGCCAGGTCAGCCTCTCACGCGCGCCGTGAGCACCGCGGCTCCGCCGCCAGCGCTAGCACTGCAACCGCTAAGAGCTTCAGAGATCTGCACAGGAAGTACTCTGCCTCTCAGCATGCGACAACAAGGAGTGTTCCTCCTTCGTCCGCGAATCTGGCCATTCCTTCGGATGAAGAGAGTGATGCTGCCGTCAGCTTTTCAGACGGCCGACGGACGCCTCTTCCTCCGATTGAGGGCGAGTTGGAGCCAAGCGAGGAGAATGACGGGCTCCTAGGGCGACATGAGATGCTGAACATGACGCCGCCGTCCAGCAGCCGTGGTGAGAATCGCGAAACGGTCTTTTTCACCCCGCAGTCAGCTCCTGCGGCTACACGAGTTGTTTCTCCGTTACGAAGGGGAAGTGAGGAGGGTAAGGAGGTCAGCAGCAGCGATAAGGACCATCGTCCTGCGTCGTCATCGGCAGCGGCGGCTGCGACGGACGTACTACAGGAAGGGGAGGAGTTGGTTGTGAGCCCACCACTATAAGAAGCTATCAATGCTTGATTTTCTCTTTGTTGTCATGGTTGAGGCGATTGTTGGTGTTGGTGCTGGTATTGCCGTGGTCGTTGTGTAAAAAAAAAATACCCATCTGTTTCAGAACCACATTCGCTCGCTCGATTATGATGATGCGTGCGACAGTCATCCATACATACATGATTCGAGTATATCTTATTAATATATCCTTTATGAAAAGAAGCTTCCAAAAACAAACAAGCCTGCATATTACGCGTCTTCCTCAGACAGACTCTTCCTTTCTTGTCCCTACCTACCTACGAAAGCAAGCATGATAGAATACCACCATTTCTTCGTCCAAGACTCTCTCGGGCTAGCTGTGCAACAATTCCAGCGCGGTCTTCTATTCTCTACTCATTTCCTTTCACAGCTTCTCAACTTCAGCTTTCTTAATACGTATTGGCCATTCTCTTATTGGCAAAATTTTCTTCTTGTGTTTCGGCAAGAGGCTGCACATGACACTACGAAGTATCTTTTTAAGTTGTCTGGCCCCCGCGTTTCGGGCCGACCCGTTGCGGTTTTAATCCTTCTTCTTTTGTCTTAGTTGTTTGTGTTGCACATGTTTGGCGGGTGGAATTATGATCCGGGGAGGTTTTGTAGTTTCTGTGTCTGCGTCATGTGGGTTGTGTGAGAATGGACGAAAAAGGTCAAAGTTGGTGTGAAAGAGGCGGCCCGGGGAGATGATACCTACCCATCCATCAAATTGTCACTAGTTTAGAGAGTGAAGAAGGACGAGAATGGGATCAAATAGGGCTCTATTAGGCATGCATGAATTGATAATAAAGAGTTTGTTGTTAGTATTTATCTACGGGGAAATACCACATATTATATGAGTAAAGAGATTTTGGCGGAAGAGAGATATCACAGCAGAGCGAAATTAAGAAAGTTGTTATATTCTCTCTTTACTTGTTGCTGCGATGACTGGCTATAGCCACCGGTTGCTTCTTGGGCCAATTATACGCCTAAGCTACAGTCATAGTCAAAAAATACTGTCCCCCCTTACCATATTGGATATGTGGGGTGAGGGGACAGTATTTTTTTAATTACGAGTTTATATAAGCCTGATCCTATCTTTTATCTTGGGTATACAGCAAAAGAAGTCGGTGCCTTTAACCTCCCTACCGTCTTTGGCTACGACTCCTATCCCGCCTCCCTCCTCCACGATCCCGATCGCGGTCACGGTCCCGTCTGGATGTCGACAGACTCCTGTCCCGCCTACTATGGTGATGGCTGTTACGGCGAGGATCCCCTCCTCGGTGGTCTCTACTTTCCCTATCCCTATCCCTGTCGCGATCCTTGTCCCTATCGCGACTTCTCTCCCGCCGGCTGTCACGACTTCTCTCACGCCGACTATCCCGGTCCCGGTCACGGTGACGATCTCGCTCACGATCGCCGCCGCGGTCCACGCGGCTCCTCGATCGGCTGCGGCGACGGACTATCGAGCTTCGACGGCGATCATCTCGCATGTCGCGGTCTCTGTCTCTGTCTCTGTCTCTGTCTCTGTCCCTGTCCCTATCCCTGTTCCGTTCACGATCTCTGTCACGATCACGGTCCCGGTCGCGGTCACGATCGCGACGATCCCTATCCCTATCCCGTTCACCCCTCTCATCTCGGCCTCGGTCGCCATCATAGCGATCCGGTCCCGGACGAGGTTTGTCCCGGTCTCGTTCCCTATCCCTTTCGCGCTCACGTTCACGCTCCTCCCTGGCCTCTCTGGCCTCTCTGTCCCTCTCCCGATCTCGCTCGGCAACGACCCTCGCAGCAGTGGAAGGGACATACCGGTTATCCGAGTCAATCAGGGGGGCTTCACGTTCACGTTCGCGATCGCGGTCACCCCGATCACCAGCACGGTTATGGTCGCGGTTGCTGCTGCTGCTGCTGCTGTTGTTGTTGTTATTGTTATTATTGTCCCTGCTGTCTCGGGGAGTGTCCCTGGCGTCTCGGTCGTTTCCTCGTCTCCGCTTGAGATCAGGCGACCGGTCACCTCCATTGGTGCTTCCAAGGGGGGTGCCATTGCCGCCCCCGACACGCTTATCGTCGATTCCCGGGATGGGCATGCCCTTCTCGCGGGCTTGCTTCTGCGCTGCTAGGTAGGCCTTGGCTTCCTGCTCGCGCTTCTTCACTTCGGCTTGTTTCCAAGCTTCCTTTTCGTCGCGGTCGAGGTGGGAGGGTGGGCGAGGGGCGGTCGAGGCTATGGAGAGAGGGGTCGTGATCATGGGCACGGCAATTGTTGACATGCCGGTGGTGGTTGGGCCGCCTGGGGTGGGTGGTGCTACTCGTGTAGTAGAGATAGGAGCAGTGGCAGTGTCCTTGGTGACGGTAATATTAGGGCTCTTGGGAATTTGTGTGGCGGCGGCACCGGCGGTCGCATCGGTTTCAGTATCGCGTCGCTCACGCGAGCGGGAGCGGCTTCTTACTCGCCGATCCCGATCTGCTGGCCGCAAGCGAGACCGCGAACGATCCCGGCGATCAACTCTAGGGCGTGGAGAGCGGCTTCTGTCACGGTCATCTCGTGTGGCGCGTGAACGGCTTCTAGCCCGTCTGGTGTCGTCTCTCCTGTCGGTGATTCTGACTCGTGAGCGGCTCCTGTCGCGACGGTCTGTCGCCCTCCGTCGAGAACGGCTCCGATCTCTGACATGATCCTCTCGTCGGTCGTCTCGGCGATCCAATCTGGGACGTGACCGGCTACGCTCTCTCCGATCACGAAGACGGGAGCGACTGTCCTCCCGCCTATGTGAACGGCTTCGCTCGATCCGCCGCGCGCGCGGGGAGGCTGACCTGTTGTCTTTCCGTCTCCGATCGTAATCACGGCCTCTCTCTTTCTCACCCTCCCTGTCCTTCTCCTTCTCCTTGTCGCGATGTCCGCGAGTCCCTGGAGAAGGACTCTTGCTCCTTCGCGACTCGACCCGGCTGGCGGTTTCCTTCGGTTCCTTGACGTCTTTAGTGTCAGTGACCTCCTTAGGTTCAGTAACGTCCTTTGTCTCCTCAGTAACTCCCGGTTTGCCCGCAGTATTTGCTGTCTTCTTGACCTCAGAGACCTTTGGTGATGCTCGGCGGATTGGATCGATGGCAGATGCAGGCTTTGTCCGTCTGGGTGGTGGTGCCAGGGTAGTATCGACCTCTAGCTCAGGTTGTTTCGCAGCTACGCGCTTGCTCTCGCGCAAAAGGTCGGCCAACGCCTCTTGTTCCAGGCGTTCATTATCCTCTTTGGAAAGTTGCGTTTTCACATCCTCCGGGCGGCCATGGTCGTTCCTGGCTTTGGCGTCCCTACTAAGGCGCCTGTCCCGACCTCTTGACCTGTCTCTGGACCTCCCTCGGCCCCGGTCCCGGTCACGATCACGATCACGGTCTCTGTGGCGATCACGATCCCTGCTCCGGTTTCGATCCCTCTCCCGGTGGCGGCGTTCACGGCTGAGTTCCCTTTCCCGTTCACGTTGTTCCCGTCGTGCGCGCCGCTCCTCGCGTTCCTTTTCCCTGATGGCGTCTTCCTCGAGCTGCTTCTTCCTCCGCTCTTCTCGTCGCTTCTGCTCTTCCTTTTCCTTGATTTCACGCTCCAGTCTTCGCTTCTTCTCCTCCACCAATCTGAGCTCTTCACGTACACGTTCCCTCTCTGCACGACGCGCGGCAGTCTCGGCTGCATATTCTTCGTCCGTCTTGGAGCCGCGGATACGCTCTTCTTCGGCCGCCTCGTCGCCTATCTCTGCACGTCGAAGTTTGCGGAGATGAGCCTCGAGTGCGTCGGTATCGATGAGGCTCTCAATAACGGCCTGTGCCTTTTGGTAGACTTCGTTTCGGTCGAGGGCGCCGTCGATGAGGGCCGCTGCTTTGCCTCGGTCGAGGGAAAGCAGTTGTAAGGGGTTGCGCTCGACTTCTTGCTCGGCTACTTGGAGGATTTGTTTGACAATCTCGGATTCGTGGTCCTAGAGCATGTTGGGTCAGAGTTGATGAGTTATGGGCTGAAGATGCCGTGGAAAAAACTGACACTAGAGAACTTCTCCCAGACTTGTTTCCGAATAGTATCATATCCGCCCTTTTTCTTGAAGCTGTGAGCTAACCCTTCGATCGCAGATCGTGTGGCCGAGGTGAGCGGTAGATCAGACGCCTTGAAGTTCCTGACGACAATCGGAACATTGATCGGATTCGGCGTAGCCTCCTGAGCCTCCGCGCCCGAGGCAGCAGGAGCCAACAGAGAGGGCTGAATGGCGGTCGACATGGTCAGGCCAGTGGCGGTACCGCTTGAGGGTGGAAGTGTGCGCAACGGATTCCTCAGCCACTGATGAGGCTTTTATATAAAGGCCACGGTACGCAGAATGGTTGCGCAAGTGAAGGATGACCGGGACCTTAAGGCCTCATTGCTGTAAACCTGAGTCGGCGGGGTGCCGGGAAAGTGGGCGGGAGCGTAACTCGGGCAGCGTGATCGGCGGATGAAAGTTGAAAGAAGGATTCAGTTCATTTCGTGAGTCGATAAGTGACGGATACCCAGCTCCTACACTAGTCGAAGACTGTCGCTTGGGAGAAAATCGACCCCAAGTGGGCGTATAATTGGCTTATTGGTCTCGTATATCTACCGTATCTTGGGTGGTAAAGTCCTCGGAAACGCGATGCCCGGTGCAAGGAGTGAAGCGCGTTGCGGGAAGGTTGGTTGCTGGACCAGAAAGTTTCAGTGGGGGTCCTCCCGACGATCAGGGAGCCACGGGGCCAAGCGGGGCCGGCAGGCGCATTGAACAGGGGGTGCCGTGCCTGGACTCGGGCCACCCTTTCCCTTCAACTCAATTGAGTCAAGGAAGTTGATTCAAGGTTCCCTTGCGGCACGGGCCAACGGGCAGGACTTTGTCTTTCATGCTCTAGGGTTAGGGCCAGAGGCTCATCAGTCCGACCTTCAGAAGACGAGCTCGCCGGGACCTTACTTGTACGTATGCACGAACCACCATCGCGAACATTGTCACTTTGCGCTTCAACCCGCGTCGTCGTCGATCCCACCCATACAAGTAGTCGTTGCTCGAGGGGCACAATATAACGCTGAGAAAGAGGACCGAAATCGCGGTTTCAAACAGAAAAAAAAGCAACCATGGTTCACAGAATGGTCTTCTGGGCCGGCTTCGGTACGTTGCCCCGCTCGCTCACCATGGGAAATAGGACATGATTCATGAACCACATCAATCCTCCACCAATTGATACTCCACATGTTGTCACAAACGCCCATATTCCTGGCCTATCTGTCTTACTCTCTCGACTCTCTCTCCCTCTCTCCATCTTCATGTCGACATCATTATCGCTAACTGCCGCCTTCCAACTCTGCTCCTTCAGGCTTGGCTACCCGCGCCTGGTCATTGGGCATCGAGCGACGACCCATCCTCGGCAGGTCTACCCTCTGGGGCTACCCCGTCTTCGCGGCCATCGGTGCCAGCTTCGGCTATTGGGTTCAGGGAGTGGACGAGCGACAGCAAGCTATACTTCAGGAGCGCAAGCAGGCCATTCTCGACAAGAGGGCGCGGAGGGCGGCGCGGCAGCAGGAGCAGGCCCACGGTGAACCCGAGGCGGCGGCGCATTAAAAGGGCTGATACGGATTCTCAAAGCTCCCGGTAAAACGGTACGGGGCGAGGGAGAAGGATAACCGACATTGATGGACGCCGAATTGGGATGGGGAAGTCTGAGAGTGGGACCTCATGGAATCACAGTACACTGGGGAAGAGAGAAAGAGGGACGCAAGGGCAGGTAGATAGATGGGCAGGAAAGGGAACCCACAGGACCTTTACGGCACGCCCAGCCATCGAAGAAGAGAAGTCAGCACATGATAGACATGCTACAGGCAGACACAGCAAGCAGGTAAACAAGTGTCTTGACAGTCGAGCTCATTTGAATTCAATGCTCTGATCTCCCTTCCCGTTTTTGCCTTTCCCTTCCCCTTCCTCTTCTTCCTCGGTTATTTGCCCCAGGTTCGCTTCGCCGCAAACTATGCGGTCGTGTTGTAGGCCCCGGTTAAGATCCAGGTATCTCTATTTACCTACTCTAGCTCTGTGACCTAGCTGGCGCGCCACCACCAGCTAACAACTCTTGCAGTTTTCTACCTATCTCCTTCATCTCACCGTCACCCTCTCCTATGCTCTGCCGTTTAAGCAATGGTAGGATCCTCCCGCTTCCTCAACAGCGTCAAAATAGCCTGCGCCGGAGCGAAATCTGTACCGCTCTCAAACTCGGTAATGACACCCGCAATGTACTTGCTGTGTGTGTTATCAAACATCAGCCGGAACGACTCAGCCGAGCATCGCTCGGGGTCAATTTCGTTGTAGGTGAGCGAGTCCACCGACACACGCTCGCGGTCAAAGTTGATAGTCTCGCAGAGGGCCACCACCTTGACGTTGGCGGCAGAAGCGGCCATGGCGACGTCCGCCGTTCCCGCGGGGGCATGCAGAGATCCGTTAGCGAAGATGGCCTCGGTGCCGAGCAGCACGTTGCTCGCCCGCTCAAGGTGCGCCCGCAGGCCGCCGAGGTTGGGCGAGTAGAAGACGCGGATGCCGGCCTGCTGGAGCGTCTTGGCGAGCTCCTTGCCGCCCTGGTCGTACGGGTCATCAATGACGGACACGGCAAAGCTTTTCCCGTTGGCCTTGGCCCGCAGAATGGTCTTTTCTACCAGCCGGTGGCGGCCGTACGTGAGGACGACGCCGTCCTCGTCGATGAGCTCGGCGGCGTTTTTGGAGATGACCACCTCGGCCAGGGTGATGCGCTCGTTGATAAAGATGTCGATAAACTCGAGGAGGGACTCCTTTGCTTCGTCCTCGGGGGTGTCGATGTCAAACTTGTTGACTTGGGACTTGAGGAAGCGGATGGCGTTACCCATGGAGAAGGACATGGGGCGGCATTCGGTCAGATACTCGATCTGGGGGTTCAGGACATGCGGGACAAAGTGGCGTGACAGCGAATTTCCCTTTGGTGTTTCGTAGGACTCAATCACCTATTGTATGTTTGGTCAGTCTCCAGTCCACACAGTCCGGGATCAAGGTTGCCAACCTTCTTGAACGCCAAAAGGGTCGCCTCCAGCCTGGCAATGCTATCCTTCAGCGCAAAAGTAGCCATCTGCTGGCCGACCGCCAGCACGGCAGGGTGCACGTCCTTGTGCGCCTGCGACGTCTGTATCCGCTTGGCCATGGGCACATGGCTAAAGCACTCGGGAATACTACTCCTCGGATCCTCCTTGATGATGGCAACCGAAGGCCGCCTTCCGTTCACGGACGGCCTGCGACCGGGCATAGATTTACCCTGTTGCTGAGACCCCGCGGATTGACTACCCTCCTGCTTGCCGCCCTTGCCGCTCTTGCCCCCCTTTGCATCTGCTACTGCGGCCGCTGGTGGGACTTCCTTCACTTCCTTTGCCTTTGCCCGTCGTGCTGCCTTCTCGGCCTTGGCCTTGGCTTTTAGCTGGGCGGGAGTGAGCTTCTGTTCGCCGGCGGCGTCTCCTCCGGTAGTAGCTGGTGTGTTGGCGACAGCGGGCTTAGCTTGTTGCTTCCCCTTCTCCTGTGGTGCGGGAGCCCCAGCGGGAGCCCCAGCGGGAGCCCCGGTGGTTTCGATAGCCATTTGTTGTTGTATAAAGATGCGATGTGCTTGGCGAAGTGTCGCAACTGTTGTTTGAAAATCAGATGGGATCCGATTGGGCGAAGGGCGCAGTAAATTTGCGTCGCGAGTTGAGGACTCGAGTGACAGACAATGAACAGCCGAGTTTGTGCTTTGAGATACAAAATAACCGTACCGATACACAGGGGGTACTGATAGCGATGGTTGTCCCTTTTTCCCTCTTTTCCGTTTTTGTTGCGTCAGCACAATGCTAACTCTCAAAGTGCTCAGTGCAAGATCATCTGCCAGATTCTGAGAACTGAGTCACGGATGCGTTCAAGAGGTCGTACCGCCAAAAACACCACCCCGCGCTCCGCTTTTTGTCAGATACCAGCCAATCACCAGCCGCAGATTCCGTCCGACCTAGCCAACGTCACTCAAGAACTCAACTTGTTGCTCCAGTTCGTTACAATTCATTAACCGCCTCCTCACTCTGAAATACTACTTGTACTTATTCAATATAGTCTCGCTCCCAAGATGTCTATGGCAGACAGTACACGGATCAGCTATAAATCAATGCCTCACCGCTAGGGACTCACCCGTAACCCTCCAGTTTGATCGGTAGACTGTTTGTTATCTTTCAATTAATCCGCAGACGTCGGACCTGAGTTCCGTTCTCCATCTAGCATTGTAACATATCGATCCGGTCCATACTTGTACATATTTACATTGCACTGAGAGCCGCACACTCAAAGCGCCATACTCCCACTTTGCACGACCTCTATAACAACCCAAGCAAACCAACATATAACCTCGTATTCCGACGAGCTAGCCATCTCCAACGGCGCTTATTCATCCTTCTCCTCCTTCTTCTCCTCCTCCTCAGCCGCTGCATCCTCCTTGTTCTTCTTAGGCGTAGGGCCTTGGAAGACCATCCTCACCACCTTCCCAACCTGTCCATCCATCGCCTTCACCTCCTGAACCTTGGGTACCTCGGCAACCGCCTCCCTAATCATGCGCACCACTTCCTGGCACTCCTCCTGCGTCGCCGTCTTCTTCTGTTTCTTATCCTTCTTTTGCAGCAGCATGATTTCCACCCTGTGACCCTTGCGCAAGAAATTCTGGAGCTGCCGTGTGCGGAATCCCAAGTCGTGCGCCGCAATTGCCCAGTTGATCTCCAGCTCCTTCTTGCTCACTTGCTTTCTGCGTTCCTCCTTGGCCTTGGCCTGCAGAGCAGCGGCCTCGGCGCGGCGGTCGACGATGACGCACACGGGCCAGTCGGGCAGGTTTTCGTCTTTCTCAGGCTCGGGCTCGCCGGGCGTCGGCTTAGGCGGCGCCCATACCATCGCCAAGCTGTATCGGATGCGATCCAGCCGGTTGATAATGTCCGCTGGCCGTTGCTTCTCCGTGAGCCTGCCGTCTAGGCCGCGCAGGTATACCCAGGGTTCTTTAATCGCCAGGTCGCGGGGCAGGCCGGCGTCCTTCTTCTCGTCTTGACCGGGTTTTCGTTTTCCCCATTTCACCTGGAGAGCGCCTTGAGTCGAGAATGGGCATCGTGTCTGGTTGAGGATGGTAGCAGTCGCGGCGGCAACTGAGAGGCGCGGAAGTAGGATCGTCTGGAGCAGCAGGGGTGCTGAAGCGGAGGCGCTTTCGAGGAAGACCCTCCGAAGGGCAGCTGCGGAATTGTAGAGGCAAGGGGAGGCTCTCATGATGGACTCGGCTTGTTGGTGCGTCGGGAAGAGTTCGCGATGAGGTTGAGGAACTCGAGGAAGGGTTGAGAATGTCGAGGAAGGTTGAAGTTGTCGTCGCGGGGAAAGAAGAAGAGGATCTGTGGCAGTTGACGAGCCTACACATCAGTCCTGAAAAGTTTGTTAGCGGCATACACGCCCCACATCCTTTTATAAGGGGGTAACAGGGGGGGTTGCAGGGCGGGACTAGTCTATCTACGCATTCTAATTAGCTAAAACTACCTAATTTCAAGGTGAGAAAGAGGGATTCAAACTGCCACACACAAACCTCGTTAATCCCCCTTATACTGGCTCAGAATCACTAAAATCACCCAGAACCCCCCCTTACTACCTTCTATAATCGGAAAAATTATAGTGTATTTACAGGGCACTCTAGTACATTTAACTAATCAAATTTTAGGATCACTCGCCAGAACAACCAACAAATCAACAATTTTTCTAAAAATCACAATTCTGACCAGAAGCACACAGATCACCCAGATCACCCAGATGGATTCAAAAAGTGGTACAAATGCTGGATTTCGACTAGAATCAACGAAATTTGAAACCTCAAAGTGCATATTTACTTCGCGCACATACCACCCTCTGGCCTGTACACAGGCAAACACCAGCAATCAACCAGCAATCAACCAGTCAGTTACACACAACCCTCTCTTTCAAATCCACTCTTTCACACACAACCCTCTTTCACCCACACTCTTTTAAATCTACTCTTTCACCCTCTTATACCTACTTTTTACCTATTTCACTAACTATCCTTAATCCTAGTGCCTCGTTAATTCCCTTAGATTCTCAACCCCCCTTAATAATAGAATAAACACTATAAATCGGATTACAATACCGATTACAATAACGAAGAGAACTTCATTTACATTAGCGAGCTAAATTGCGGTTGTAGCGAGTATAGTACCGAAGTAAGGAGCCCGCCGCGTAACCTGGAAATTCTCCCTTTTACCCTACTGCGACGCGCCACTGCAGCCGTACCCGGTTAGTACTTCTACCTTCTAAATTATCATTATACGTTATTTATTACTAATTATTATCCTTAGCACCTCGCTTATAGTCATCCTCGCCTAGATTTAAAGGTCGTACCCCGCTTCAACTACGACGCGCCCGCAATACCCGCAATACTTGCGCGCCGCCGTCATTGTCACTGCAAGACCCCCCATTATTACCTTCGCCCGGCGCCAACACTTCGTCAATCAACCCCACCGAATTATCCTTTACTTCTCAACTATCCCCCCCCAAAAAGAAGGCAGCACCAACTACATATAAGGAGCGCATTATTTACAAAGCACTTCGTACGTATACGAAGATGGATTATAAGGATATTACCGCTGCCTTTAATCTTACTATCCGGCAAGTGCAATATACTTATCTCCATAAGGCTATACTTTACCGCTATACTAGGGGTAGACCTCTTACGGTTCTGCCAACTTTAGTTTATATTCTTTTTCAATATATAAATACGCTTACAAAATTAAAGAGGTTCCTGTTGTAGGAGGAATTAGGAAAGCGTATCCCTAAGTTCAACCAATATAGCCGTTACACTATATAGGCCGCAATAGAGTTTTAAGGAGTCCATCGCATTAAACAACCAATTCGCCTCTCGCTTAGTATAATAACCCGTCGTACCCGCTTACAATTCGCTTTATAATAGACTAGCCTTACCCTATTCGAATAGGAGACTTAGATTTGGTTTAATAAGACGTAGGTAAATAGTATTAATAAAGGTCGCCGTTTTATTACTATATTCAAAGGCGAGAATCCCAATAATTTTGCCAGAACTAAATAGAGAGCTCACGGGTAGATATACTAGACTTGTTTTACTAGTACAATAAAGGGTACTACCCTATTTTAGAACTATAAAGATTAGGGTACAATTACTAGTAAATCTTATTAAACCTACATCCTTCCTCTCCTATACTAATTCTAGTAATAAAACCCGAATTTCATTATTATACAGGATAACACCCCTTCTTACAATTCAAAAGCAACGAGGGCATTCATAGCTCAAACCTTCAACGGCGCCAAGCTCGTAGCATGGCTACCACACTCACTAGATTTCAATCTAATTGAAAATATATAGTATTGGATAAAGAATTAAATTGAGCGCAATTACCCAATCCGGCCAACTAGACTTACCCTCAAATTTGTAATTGAGTAAGTATAGGAGGCAGTACTAATTGATTACCTTCGTCGGCTAGTATATTCAATGCCTAGAAGAATACAAGCGGTTATTGTAGCGAATAGTAGATATATTGGATTTTAAGCGAAGTAACAGATACGAACCGGTACTCGGAAACCCTGGTTTTTAATATAGTAAATTAATTGATTCTCCGTAACTCCTTTCTCCCTATTCGAAATTCCTGGGCTCCACATGTGCAATTCTATTGGATTTATTCCCTATCACCCCCCTTGTCATTCCCCTGTCAAAATCCCCTGTAAGTACCGAGCTAACGAACTTACCAGGGCTGATGTGTACACTAAACCAGAAACACTCTGGATCGAGACGCGCAATTGCAGATCCGGAGCATTTCGGGCCAACCACGGAGCTCCAATTCGAAGCTCCCCTGCACTATGCACGGGCACCCTTGAGCGCCCCACACCTATTGCCGCGAGCCTCCTGCACACCCACGAACCGTCTTCGGCCCCACGATCCGGTCGGCCGCCAGTGCTTTGCATATCGCTTTCATGATCCTGGGGGAGCGAGTCTGAACATCCGCGTCGACATTTCTCATGTAACGGCTGATGGTCATGAGCTATAGTTGCGACTTCTTTCACGAAAAAGTTCTCCGACCGTAGGCTCACCCACTGCTTCAGCAAATTCCAATTTGAATACTCTGAATTTTTCAGATTTACTTTACGACTCCAAGTCGTCGGGGGACCTCCTCACATCCCGTCCCGTTCATCGGTTCGGGTCACATCCATAACCGCCCATGCTGCCGTCAATACGACCGCCCATCCGGGCTTCTTCCTCAGTACTCTCTCTCCTCACCGGTCCAGCAATACGCACCACCACGTCCTCACAGGCTACATGTCGACTCACCTTCCAACAACGGACACTTTCCCAGGGGCACAATGTCGTCGACCAAACGCCACCTCCCAACCCTGGTTCAACATCGGCCGGCTCCGGGATAAATTATAATTTACCTCCGTTATCATTCTCTTCACATGATCAACATCAGCACTCCCAAGAAGACCACCAACAACATCACCACCACCTACCACCACCCCCTCAAGGCTTCTTTTCCCGCCTCCTCCACGCACTCCGCACCCACCCCGTCACCCTCCTCCTTTCCTCCCGGCTCCAGCACTTTGACCAAGTTCTCGGCTCCCCCTACCACCGCCTCCTCTCCCACCCCTTTCGGATGCTCTTCTCCACCTTCAAGCTGCTCGCTTTCACCCACCTCTTCCTCGAACACGTCCTCTCCATGGCGCCGGCCTCCGGCCCCTCTATGCTCCCCACCTTTGAAGTGGTGGGCGAGTGGCTCGTTGTCTCGCGGTTCCATAAATATGGGAACGGAGTGAAGGTGGGCGATCTGGTGGTTTATCAGATTCCTGTTAGTACGAGTGGGGAGTTGGGGGTGAAGAGGATCATGGGGATGCCAGGGGATTACGTGTTGGTTGATACGCCGATGGCGGGTGGAGGGACTGTGGAGGGGGAGGTGTTGGGGGACAGGGGCGGGCCCGGGGAGGGGGATGAGGTTATGATTCAGGTATGTTTTGGACTCTATTCTTGGTGATGATGAGCACATGGTGCGAATGGGTGGACTGGGGCGACGACGTAAAGTGGAACAAGTATTGCTAACGAATGTGGTAAATGATTTAGGTGCCGGAAGGTCATTGTTGGGTGGTAGGCGACAACTTGACGGCCTCGCGCGATTCGAGGACGTTTGGCCCTGTGCCACTAGCACTGATCAGGGGCAAGGTGTTTGCCAAAATTCAATCGAACTGGCTGCCTAAGTTGATAAGAAACCCTTTGGAGAGGGTAGAGCTTGAGGAGGCAATGGCTTGTTGAGATACCCATACCCAAAGGAAAATAGAAGCAAGCCTGGAGGCAATCCCATGAGTTCGAATCCTTCACCCTCCCGCCTTGGGTTGCTCCCCATGAACACTCCGGAAAAAGTCCACGACAGCTTACCTCATTTGAGCCGAAAAGTCAGGAAACTAATATCCTATAGTACTCTCAAGGGCTGATAAACTACATACTCACACTCGAACCGAGACCAGTGCCGGATATGCCTTCGCAAACGCTACCTCATTTGTTTGAATAACACCAAACGAAACAAGGTGAAACCCACAAGCAAAGAGGGGGGATGGTGTTCTGGCGAACTATATAGATTAGGTCTGCAGGCTGATCATCCACACCGAACAGCCGGAACCACGGCACGGTCCTCGTTATCGGTACAAAAGAAAATAACCCAGGTCGAGATACGCAGACAAAACGCACGCAACCCTTCATGTCCATCAGCCTCTCCTATTTGGCCATAATTGTCACCCCTTCGAATGGTCGCTCCCTGCAAATACAAAACCCCACGACTTCCCTCCCATGTAATCAATCCATTACTGAACAATGCTGCGCCGCAAACTCCACGCCAATCCTATGCGAAGTACCTCAAGCCAGTCGAAAGCAAGATGAAAGATGCCAGCAAATTGAGGAAGGTTGAAGAAATATAACCATCAACCTCTCCCATTTAACCCTCGATGTGGGCTTTGGCATTTCCCTGGCCGAGGAGCTCCAAGCACCGCTGTGCAAGGCTGACCACTTCACCCTCGTCATCGTCCTCCAGTTCGTTATCCGACTCAATCTGGCGGTTCGCAATCTGTCTAATCATATCCACAATGTCGTTCGATTTTCCAATCAGCCCAATAAGCTTCTTGTCTTCAGATTCGAGGAGCTGCAGCAGTGTCCAGATCGCAATGTGTTGAAAAGTGGCGTCGCCGCTAGCGAGGAATCTGCTCAAGTAGCCGTGGATGCCATCGCTTGGCTCGTTCCAGTTGTGAATGAAAACACTGTAGTCGCCCACTGTTCGTTCGTCAGCATGTCAGGCCCAGAAACAACAGTTCATCAAGGATTTTACTGACCTTTAGATGACAGGTTACCCAGAGCCGCAGCACTGTTTCCTTGAACCTCGATGCTAGGTGACTTGGTAAGAGGAATCAAAACCTCAAACACACCGAGCTCCAATAGATTTGTCTTCAGTTCATCACTCAGCGCCAAAACGGCAATGGCTGCCGTCATCTCCGACTGTACCGTCACTGGGACCTCGAGCACCAACTGCTTGCACTTCTGTACAGCGCCAGCCTCAAGCACCAACGCCTTGTTCCTGTCCGAGCTCGCTGCCAAGTTTCTGAGGGTTGAAATAGCATGACACTGGATCTCCTCGTTATCGGTCGACCCTAAGAGGTCAACCAATGGTTTCAAAAATCCTGCCTCGATGATGGGAGACTCGTTCATTGGGTGGATCGAGATGTTTCGAATGCAGGCAACAGCCGACAAAATGAGCGGTAGATACGACGACTGAAGAAGACGGAGAAGGGGACCGAGACCGCTGGCGCGAACGATTTCCAACTGGTACTTTTCGTCCGAGGCGAGATTCCGGAGTGCCAAGGCGGCCTGGCATTGAACCTTGGGTGAAGAGGAGTCCATCAAGTTCACAAGAGACTGAACAAGCCGAGGCTCGGTCTGCGCAAGCTTCCGCCTGTTATTGGCGTCGACGGCAATGTTGCTGAGGGCAGTAGTGCAATAATACTGGACGTCGACATCAGTGGAAGACAGTAACTGAACCAACACAGGGATCGCGCCTGCATTGACCAGTTGTTGGCGATTTTCATCTATCACGTGTTAGCAATGTCTAGACAACGTCCGTCACGGTACAAGCCTACCAGAGTGTGTCATGTTTAGGAGAGCGCCAGTAGCATTGCGTTGAACTCTCATGTCCCTAGATTTGGCGAGTCGTGTCAATGGTCCCAGAGCCCCGGAACGTGCAATCTTGGCCTTGTTGTCTTCGTGCGTGGCCAAGTTAGTGATACACCCAACAGCGTTACACTGAACTTCGACGTTGGGCGACATCATTTGACGGATAAGGGGGGCCAGACCACCGAGCTGGACGATCAGGACCTTGTTGTCGGCTGTTCTCTTATTAGTCATCTCTACCGCACATAGGCACCTTCGGGAAAAGCACCCACTGTTTACAGCAAGGTTCCCCAGCGCCGCGCTGGCTGCCCTTTGTACCTCGATATCGGAGTTTTGGAGAAGGAAGAGGATGGGTTCAAGAGTATCCCGGTCAACTGCCCGCACATCTAGCATGAGCAAGCCAAAGTTAGCAACCCGAAGACCAAGACAAAGGGTCCTGATACAGTGTCTCCAACGCTACGTACCTCGCTCGGTGATTTCAGCAAACGTCAGACTTGCACTCCGTTGAAGATCTATGTTCTCCGAGTAGACGAGAGTGCTCAGGGCGCGTAGGGGCTCTCCGGAGAAGAAGTCGGTCTCTCCGCGCTACACAAGTGTTAGCGCTTCCGTGATAACGCAGGCAGATATCGGTACGCATACATTTTCGAGATATTGGAGGAGGTCGGCAACAGCCTCCCGCTCGCTGTCGGCGAGGACGTTATCATACAAACCGTCGCGGGATTTGCCTGACGGGTCCTGTTAGCTTTACTGCACGCATCACATATACATAAACGGAAAGGGAAGAAAGGCATTCAGGGCGTTACATACCTCCGCAGCACGAGGAACAGGAAGCGCCCATGGCTGCTGAGGGACGCGAAGCGATCTGCCGTCAACCGCGATGTACAACAGAGAAGCCGGGCGCTTTTGGATGATGCCGCAAAGTGGTGGTGGCGATGATTGTTGTGGTGGAATGCCGGGGAAGTCGACTCGGAGGGCGCCCCGGTGTTGTCGTTCTGGGTCCGGCAGGCGGTCGGTGGTGTGCCCTGGTCGGTGGTCGGGAGTCGGATCGGTCGCTCCACAACAAAGTGGACGGTGGACGCAGGGGTTCTTGACGTTTGCGAGGGCCGCGAGGGCGAAGCGAGATCGACGATACAAATGATTAAAGACAAAGCAGCTAGAGCCAAAGCACGCCTCAAAGGGAGCTCCGAGTATTGCGAGTTCACTGATAATGTGAAGAAGCCTAAGTGTTCTGATGACTGACGACGCAAAATTCGAGGGACGGGGACGATGTCGAGCGGGAACGGGCAACGAGACACGGTGTTGAATGATTTTCTTTTTTTGGGGGTTTCTGGGAGGGATTGTTGGGTTGCGTGAGGCAGCGGGACAGCGGAGAGGCTGGAAGGAATCACGGTCTTCACAAAGAGATGGAAGAACACTCAAGCACAGAGAGGCCGCGCTATGTACCTAGGAGGACCGCTCACTCCACTCACTGCTTTGGTTGCGAAATGGATGGAAGCACGACGGACACCTCACGGACAGACAATATGGATCACGCTGCCTTGCCCCCGGTGCTGCTGCCCTTCGTTGTTGTTAATCAATGCGAGCAAATCTGTTGAACGGGGACCGGCGGCAGAGGCATGAATGATGGGTGAGCGGCGTCGAAGCTGCCACTGCCTCGCAATCGCGCCCTGCCCACTGAGACCCGAATCACAGAGCGCACCATTACACATACACCCACAGGGCAGCGAGGCAGCTTCCAGGGCCCGGGCGTCTGGGGGAAAAGTGGGTCGTGCGCTGAGGTGGCACCTGCGGTTGTGGATGCTCCTTGCGACTGGACCTAGGGTGCCACTGGATTTGATGTCATCACCACAACGACGACGCCATCCTCCATCCAGGCTTGCCAGGGCCCCAGATTAGGGACGAAGGCGCGTAGAGTATGTAGAAGATACTGTAGGTACCTACTTACTGTAATGTTTCCATTGATGGGTTGCAACCATTCATTCCCTTTCTTTCTAGAGCTTTTGAGTCTTTCTCTTTGCCGAACAGCGGGTAGTATCTCCTGTCGGATCTTTCCACTCTCAATAGGTAGTGTCCTCCAGTGTAGTATCCTGGTCCAGCCGCATCACAAGAACAAGTCACCTCACCCACTATCACAACCACACAGGCTGTGACTCTGTATACTGCAATTGAAGTGTACATGACCTTTGACCTTTCATTGTCTCCGACCCAAAGATTGTGTGGTGTCTCAGCACCAGGGAATACCCGATTCGTGTACTCTGTCGTACATACAAGGGAACTTGGGGGTCTAGGTGGTTAACGGATCTACCGGTCGCTGTGCCGTGTTTCGCTCAAGACGAACTTGATGCAGTGACGATCGTTCAGTGTCAGTTAAGTTAGGAAGTATGGTAGTGTGGTGGTGTTAGATACCTACGTATCTTGTCATCTCATTTCTTTGATCGCCATGCCACCTGGATTGATTTGTTTTCTTCAGGCCTGGGCACGTTTATGGAATCCTGGCACGTTAATGGCTTGCTTCAGTTGGCCAGCTATATGACCATAAGGAGCTATAGGAGGTGGGAGTGAGCAACCTGGCGTTGGTGAATGTTTACACAGCATGATGAACGTTCAACATCTGAAACATGGACATAGCTTCCCACATCTTGTATTTGCAAAGACATCGGAGATCTTACTCCGCAAGACGCAGGTTGCAGTTCTAGACACCTTATTCAGAACCTCTGGAAGATATACTCTTGCTTTTCGCATAGCCTATATGACTGTGGGTTCCTCTCGCGAGAGGCTGGTAATTTACTTTTGTTTTCCATTCAGCAACGGCTTTGAAGAGAGGAC